GTGAAGACCTGCGGGGCGCAAGCGCATTGCCGGAGCCTCAGAGCTCTCGGGTTGAACCAGCCATAAGAGCCCAAGACCCGAAATACGAGGGCCTTGACCCCTCAATAAGGTCTTGGGCTCCTAGGGCAACCTGAATCAACCTGACCGTGAATTTACGTGTTTCCAAAAACCGAATGGTGTGGTTCCCTTCTTGGCTTGGAAAACATCTCTGGGGCTGCCTCAAATGGCACCTGTTTTGCAGGTCGAGATGGGTGTACAGTTTTTTGGGTACCAGCCTCAGGTTGGCTTGGAGGCAAACCAAAGGGACACCAACCATTTGAGAGGGGGGTCCCCTACCCCATATCCTACCTCGCACGACCCTTGACCTTCCCCAAATTGGAACAGGGTCGAAAGCGGGCCTTGAATACGGGGACATGGGCAGAATTGTCAGAATGTGCCGTTCTATTTGCGTTATACCCTTAGAACAAGCAACCATCAACGAAAAGAAACGTTGTTTAACGGATTTCAGATGAACACCCTCGAGGAAACGAGTTATGGGGAGTGTAAAAGGGCTTTTGCCGTCATGAGCTCTTTGTGAAGGTTTCAGCAAGCCTGGAAAAATAAGTACACGCAGGCGTGCACCTCTAACAACTGTGGGTGCAACAGCTAGCTCGCAGGCGGAAAGTGTTTTGCATGTGCAGCGGATCAATCATCATCGTCATCTCTCCTGGCGACAGCAATTCACTGCGATGGATCCCCCCGAATCATGCTGCCGACTATGACGTGAGGTTGACTTCCGCAAACTCAATGTCGTACACCAAGGCCCTATGTCCTACTACTCAAAACGCTTGGTCGCATAAGTGCTACTAGATTTGGGCTTGTCTCAACAATAAAAATGGGTTGGATTCGCTTTGTTTCCCTTCAGACCAAACTCAAACAGGGCAACCTGGAACAACACCATTTATGTACCCGGAGTTTCCCGCGTTCCAACGGACGAGGATTGCAAGCCTCTGTGTTCTGGTCTGTCCTTCGACCACGGCCCTTGCCTTTGCCTTTCCAGCTGGGCCTGTCATCCTGACAGGCGAAAGCAACACTCCTCCCGACCCAGCAGCTGAGGTAGCCAAAGGAAGTTTACAGGATGTGTCCCTGACCCAGGTGCTTAAGGGATCTGTCAAAAGTTGGATCCCGATGGTTGGCTTTGTGTTCCTCTTTTGACACTCCTTGCACGGCCACAACTGAAGTCAGGCTGTCCGCCAATCGAAAGACACGCTCCCAGAAAAGGATTTGGGGTGTCTTATATCGAGGACACCTTCCAAATAGGCGATTGTCCCCTTGAAGTCCCTGTGAACACAACGCCGAAATAGGATACCTGCAAACAAGTGACATGCTTTAACTGCTTGGTTCTCCTTTGCTTCCCCAAATAGCATGCGGGAGTGGCCAGTGGGGGGTTGATATGTCCTTTTATCCACCATGCAAAAGTGGCCCCCTTGAAAAACACTTAGATACTCCATGGATGCCTTTGTTTCAGGCGCCTTGCCCTTTGGTGGTGCAAGAATTTCAAATGGAAAACGCACACTTTTCTACAGGTTGATCCCCCGTTGTTCCCCTATTCTTTTGGGAACCACCCAGACTTCCTGTCCAACAGGAGCCCTGGAAAGACCGGGGAAGTGCGACAAGAATTCTAAAGTTCCAGGGCCCACGACCGCACCCGGGTATTTGGGGGTTCACAAGCGGTAGGAAAGGGAACCGCCGAATTTCGGAAAGGAGACAGCCCGAGCCTGGAAGCCGGCCGGTTCTTCTGGGTCAGGCCTAGGACCCAATTCCAGCGATGGGTGACAGACAGGACCCACCATTTCTTGCATCTTTTCGGGCTCAACAAGCGGCAAAAGCTCTCGTTTGTTCAGCCCCCCCTCCCCTTGGGCAAAAGACCAAGTGGTTTCGACTCCAGGTCGGCAGATGTGAGGAAAGTCAAGGTCTCACCCTCAAAATGACGCTCGAAACAGTGGGTTGGAGGAAAACCAAAAGACTAAAATAAATATTGAGAGCCTCTGAACATCTGCACTTTGACCTTGACAAAGCGGACCAAAAATGCAACTGTGCTGCTCGTTCAGGATCTCGTTGCATTTCTGCCACTTTGCCCACCTCGGTGCGCACATCGGCATGGCCGAAAGCCTCATGGAAGTTCTGGCCCACCAAAAAATAGGCGCCTTCCCCGAATCAAATACATTGAAATACATACCCTTTCACCTACACGTTCACGTAACTTATTGCGGCCCCCTAACACGCCAGGGAGAGTTGCCTACCATTCCATGGAGACGTTTAAAGGGGATGGCGGTTGGAGGAGAATCAATGATTCCCGGGAGCCGGTTGGTACCACTTAGCCAATCCCCCCTTAACACATCCCCACCCGCAATTGCGCCCCCTCACTGTAGAGGTGTCCTGTTGAGATTGCAAGGAAACCTTTATTGAGGGCCTTCCGTACAGGAAGGAATGCCTTAACCAGGGTTGGGCAAAACTTGTTCAAACAGCCAGCCCTTGTTCCCCTTAGGCAAACCGAAAGGATCTTCTTCAAACGAAAGCATGGTGCTAACCCATGCTTGAGCCGATCCCTCGCCTGCCCTTCTTCTGCTCGTTGGCGCGCATCAGGCCCATCATGCCGCCCCTGCAGAAGGCCCTAAAAAAACAACAACAAACAAAAGGTTCTGCAACTACTGTACTAAGTCCTGTGGGAGCATCCCCGAACAATGCTCCTGATGACTTGGAAAGATGGATTCTGTTGCACTTTTTGAGCCTACACGGTTCAACCGTTAAAATCCGGTGATGCATGGGACTAAATAACTGCTCAAGGTCAGCTCCTACAATCATGACCAAAGTTGGTTTAGCCCTCATAGTACCCCTCAAAACAGTCGGTTTCTGTGTGGTGGCCCTTGAATAGATTGCCATCTAAAACGACCCCTAAAGAGGCACCCTCAAAATGACACACCAAAATTATGCTGCACCCGGAAATCAACAGTGCCAGGAATCTCAAAGGGCTGTCGAAGCCATTCGAAGGCCCCTCTGCATTAGCCAGGCAGCAGAACTACTCAGGCCTTTCCAAATGAGTAACGTTTCAACGTTTCAAAGGTTGGGTCCTATTGAAATCTCTTGGCGAATGGGCCCATTGATTCAACGGAGGGCCTTCGGTGATCCAGCTGCACTACACAACCCTTTGCCGATTTGCCAAGTTCAGAGCACGTCACATAGGTGTTTCTCAAATTTGGAGCTCTCTTTGGCTGATCGTCAATGCGAAACAAAGGTCAACCCACCCATCTGTGGAGAACCCCATTCTTAGGCAGCAGGTGAGCCCTGGTCAAATCACTGAGAAGAGGGAAAACATCCACAGTCAATTCGGATTCCTGAGCATCGCCCACTACTCACAAGGCGAACGCCAACAGTGTTGTCAATTGCTAGAATGATCTGCGATAGGAACTATTGTAATGATTGGGATGGCCTACATGAGCAGCAGCCCTACTATCTTGCTAATCCAAAGGATGCAGATGTTTGAATGTGTTTGACATAACATGCAAATGTGTGGGTGCGGGTGGGAGTGTGGGTGGGTGGGTGTGTGGGTGGGAGAGAGGGAGGGAGGGACGGAGGGAGGGAGGGAGAGAGGGAGGGAGGGAAGGAGCGAGGGAGGGTGGGCGGGTGGGCGGATGGGCGGGCATGTGGGTGTGTGAGTGTGGGGGTGTGAGTGTGTGTGTGTGTGTGTGTGTCTCAAAACATCGGAACCCCGCTTTTCGGAGTGGTTCCCCAACAAAAGTTGCGCCCTCACGCCTGTCGCTCTTGGCAGCCTCCGGAACATCCTGCAAAGAAGTCCCGACCATTTCCACACATGGCGTGGTGCACAAAAGCTTTAATGGAGAATGATTACATGGTCATTCAATGCTAAGGGTGGTTTGCAACAGCTGGGGAGGGTGCCTCAAATTGGAAATGGACCATGATGGACCTAGTTGGAGAAGTCAAAAAGGAACCCGAAGGAAGCCAGCCATCTGATGTCTACGCTGAGTCCTGGTGCAACTGACACCAGCTTTTTCCAACGGAATCATCTCCCTTCGCGAAGCGGTCAATGACTTCCATGTTGGGAGGATACTGGAGGGTATCTAGCGGTTCAGAAGTTCAGGTTGTTCAACCCCAAAAATGGTCTGGATTCCCAGCACGAGAAATCGGACGCCTCTCATGAATCCGCTGGTGAGTCATAATCAACACTTGGTATTGCAGGAATCTACTAGTGCTCAGTGGTAAAAGAAAAAAAAAAAACATCAAGAATCAGAAGGGCTTCTTGCACACCAATTGTGGCAAGAAGACTGTCCCATACAATACTTCCTGTTCCCACGGGCTTTGGCATCTTCTGAGGACTCCCTTTGTGCCAGGGTTGGGCAACATTTCTTCAAACAACCAGCCCCTGGTCACCTTTAGAGGAAAACCAAAAGAAGGTTTAACAACGGTTGCGGAAACCAAGGCTTTAACCAGGACCACACCCAACCCTGCTTTCCCCCCAAAACCGCCAGGTCTTCCTTTTGACCAAGCGCTCCTTGGGAGCGCGCTTCCGCTTGGGATCCGACGGGCTCTGGACACACTTTCCGCACTTTCCCTTAGGTCTGATCTTTCGGACGCCTTGGATTGACTGAGGTTTCACTGAGGTTTCTTGAGGCCATCGGAATGCTGATGCATGTGCATGATTAAAACTGTGCCTAGGGCACAGGAGAAAAACTCGATCCAGTGTGCACAAGTGCACACGCCGATGGCTTAGCCAACGGCTCGGATGAAGGTTCTCATAATCCGAAATGCCCTTCAGGGCCGCCTGGAATCTATGTGTTGGCCAAACCTCTGGTGTTATGGCTGTTCGAACAACGGGATGGGGCGGATTCTACATGTTATTCCCCAGAAACACCCATTATTTCAACAATGCCTCTTGGTTTTGCTTGGTTGTTTTAATACTTGTCCAACCACGGATCTCTCTATCCAGGCTGAACTAATTGCGATCACAGCAGGCTCTGCTCCCGCCGCAGAGGAATGGTGCCACCCAGCTGGTCCACCATCTGCACCACCTGCGTGAGACGAGACTCGCCTTGGTGACAACCCAACCAAAGCGCCGATCCATTTCGTGGGGAAACAGCAAACATGAAATGATAAGTGATTTCGCGTTCCAAGTTGGAAACCACGGGAAATGTACGAAAACGTCCCCCCCCACCATTTTTTGTTTAACCTGAACAAGGGTTCTCCTGGCGATAAGCAAATTGGGCCATAAAGGAAAGACTAAATCATGTTCGACCTTTCTTGATCATGCTGCATATATATATATATATACATATGTGTAACGGACTTTCGACAAATGGCCACTGGTGGTGGGACTCCAGTCCCACCTCTCAAATTCGCGTTTGTACCTTTCATGTTCGATGCTCCCATGATCGACCTGCGCTCTCCATTTACCCAGGGTAGTTTATTTGGAACGCACAGCCCTGCCAAACAAAAACAAACCCAGCCACATCGGCTGTTTGGGCTTAACAAGTCAACTATCGTAGCTTTCAGCAGTCCAGTGACCCTGAAGCCACCAACCAAACAGGGGCTTAAATGGTGGATTCCACTGAACAACTGAGAGTCTGACTTGGATGACCCAAGATGGCTTGTAACAGATGGGTTCCTTTCGAACGCTACGTGATGTATACGTACATGACCCTCCTTTGATGCAAGCGATCTGAACCCGTTTGCTCGAATCCGTGAAACGGGTCCGAACTATTTCGATGTAGGCTTTCCCGGCGCAAAGGGATGGTTCCAACGTCTTCAGTCTTTTACGCCGCTCGCGACTCGCCGTGCTCGAGTCGCCTCTTCGTTGCTTTCCACCATGGTGGAGAGGATCAACGCGGCGTGGCGGCGTTCTGCGCGCATGCCTTGGTTGCCCTTGCCGGGGAGGGGGAGGGGATCTCGTGATTTAGAGAGTCTGTGTGGCTTTTATTTGAGTTGGTACAGTATCCTTTTTGGAGGGGCGTCTCCTTGGGGTTGTTTTGCAGGGAAGCCAAAGGGGAACCATAGTCCCCCTTCTCAGATATGGATGTGTGTCAAAACCAGTTGCACCCCTCTAATCATTAGATTCTTCTAGGTTTGCCTCCGCAGAGACAGCAGGAATCCTGAGTCCTGACAAATAAGCATGTGAGCAGCGTCCAGATCTCATCAAACATTTGTTTAGTTGTATCAACACGATTATCAAGGCGTTCATGGCCATCAGCATAACTTCGATAAAACCAGCAGACTCACCTGCTAACCGACCAATGGGGGAGCAGCGCCCATGTGTTTGTCAGGGCAGCGTTTCCCCATGCTTGCTGGGACCGTAAGTCTTCAGCCCCTGAAGGCTTAGAGATCAATGCAAAGTTGCTAGAAGCTGAAGGTCCACGACACGGAGATTGAGGGTTCTAAAGCGTTGATCCCACCATTGGCCAGAAACTTGAAGCACTGACATCACTGCCTTTTGCGAGCGTGAAACGATGTCTGAAACAAGGCACGCTCCGCGTTCCTCACTGACCCCGAGAGCCATAGCGACAAGGGACGCTTTGTTTGGTTGGCCCCATATTAAACAAACAATAACTCGCCAACCTCCTCGCTCCGAAACTCCCAGCCACGTGGCGCACATAGACAAACACGTGTATGCATATATAAATATACATAGCTAGGCTTAGGCTATATGCCGAGCCCAAATCGGGAACCCCAAGCATAAAGGAGACTTAGTGTTGTGCAAAAGCACAAACAAAGGGACTCTGGGAAGCCCGCCGCACATAGGACGTGAATAAAGGCTTACTGCTTCAACCGCGACTAGGTTTGGATTTCAAGTACCCCACAACCATTCTATTTGGTTTGGTCCATTGACTTCGATCGCAACGCCACGATCCGGTCCACACAAGCTCAGGGTAGTGTCGTGTTATCTACTGAGCTCAACACATACATAAATGACATATACATATATATATATATTATTGTTTAATATATATATATATAGTAAAATGTTACTGCATGTTCTACTGATCTACTTATATAGGCCCAATTGTAGCATTCTCCGGAACCAGCACCTTGGCACCGGGAATTGGCTCGCCAAAGGGCCGGTCCGCAGCTGCCGCACCAAGGTCTCGAGAGCACCAGATTGGACTATGGCCTGCGATCCCGTGCGGGCACTCCCCCGAACACATCCCGGTGAAAAAACAAATACTGTGGATGGACGAAATCCATATCGCACCACCTTAAAACCATGGGAAACCACTGTTTGTTGGTATTTACAGAGGAATCATCATTCTATGGTTTCTCAGGTGATGCAGGATTTCGTCCATCCACAGTATCACCCAAAACTGAGGTGTGCTGGGGGGGAGGTACTGTAGGATCCCCCAGAACGAGCAATCAACCACCGAACGAGGCTCAAATATCCAAGACCAGAGACGAGCCATGGCAAAAACATATGTAAGTATATGGGTGTGTCAAAATAGCGGGACCCAACAAAAATGTTGGTTGTCTTTTTGGTTTCCCTTTAAGCCAAACCGAAAGGGTGCTCTCACAAAAACACGCGCCCAAAGTTTAAGGGCCCCCTGCCACGTCTTGGGGGAAATCGCGGCCTTCGCAAATACAAAGACCCACATGTTGGGTACACAACATTTGTCAAGACAGTAAACAATTGCGGGACACCACCTGCGAAGGTACTTTCAAAGCCCCTCAAAATGCTTGCCCAACTTCCTGGACGTCCACACCTGCTGGTTCTCCGCATGAGACTTGGCCACGGAGTGCAGCGCAATCAAAGCTGCTTGACGCGCAGTATTGCACTGCAGAGCCTGTCCATTCCAAACTGGGAGCAACATGGCACAGATCAACCGCTTTTTCAACCCCCATACATTGCTCATGCCTTCCCTTGCATCCACGGGAAAGACATTACTCTGAGGCAAATAAACATAGAACCACACATCTCCAAACACTGTGGGTTTTGAGAAGTTACAAAAATGTTCAAAGAAAGACCGCCCAATTCCCAAACTGAAAATCGGCAATCCACAAGTAGGAGGCCCTGCCCCCATCATGGGTAGAATCGCTCGTTTGCCCCTGAACCGATGGACTTTTTGTGCCCCCATATACACGAAGGGAAGAAGGGAAAGTATGGGGAAGAGTCGATCCGGTCGGAACCCCCACTTTTTTCGAGGGGTAGATACCTGGCCGCATGAGCCAGACGATGGAAGCTGACCTCCCTCACGTGCGACATGGAGTATTTGTGCATGTCCCTTTTACATACCCCCGGGATGAAACTGAAGATCTTTGTCTGTTCAGGTGTCACTCCCCCAAAGAGAAGTATAATTATTCCCAGTAGAAGGTGAGTTGGTCACTAACCAAGTAAGCAAAGAACCGGTATCAACAAGGCACATATACTCTACTTACATTCTTGGATGACAAGGACCACTTGCACCGGCCTTGACCAAGGATGCAATGGCACCCACTTCCCCAAATGCAGTCTGAGCTGGCTCATAGTCATCTGCAATGCGAGTAATCGCCAGCATCGCCTTGGCAAGTGCGCGCATCACGCCCCCATCCCAAGTTTCCGTTTTTGATCGGCCCACGGTAGACTTGAACCCTTCATGTTCACCCCCGCGCTTCAGGTCTATCTCAGGGTAGTTACAAACACGGAAACCCTGCCCCACCCGGTCAATTCACAAGCCATTTGCATCCATTGAACATCTGACGAGTATCATTCATGCGCTCCGCCAGGAAGCTTGAGTTCAGTAGCAGCATCAAGCCCTCTACCACCTGGGCCGCACTGATCCGACCCCCTGCAAACAGTGAGAACTGTTTTGTTGAAAGGCGAATTAAGAGAAGACAAAAAGATCAAGCCGCAAAGTCAAAAAGGCTTCCTCTAAGTCTGGCAAAGCAGCCTCGGCCTCAAAGATGGCCTCTTGGTTCTTTGCATGACCTGCGCCGTGCTCAGGTGCAGTCAGGGGGGATCAAAGCGTATTATCCCGCAGAGTTACAAGGGTTGTGAAAGGTTTTGTGCTTATGTGTCTATGTGTCTACGTGTCTATGTGTCTGCGTGGTGTCTTTGTCTGTGTCTCTGTTTGTGTGTGTGCTTTTCTCTATCTATGACCACAAGGTCACAGCTCAGGCAGGTGGATTGTTCCCGCTCGTTCGGCAAGGTCTCAAATTATTCGAACTTTAAAGTCTAGTGGTGTGCCTGTGCCTTCCCCGCTGAACAACCCCGCAAACCCAGATGAATGTGGATGTTTGAGGGTACTCTTTTCAGGTTGCTTCAAAAGAAACAGACAACCACAAACTCTTGGGGAACATTTTGCCGGCAGCTCCGCAAGCTTCACCCGTGATCTTCCTGCGGCCCCTCTCACGGATAGGTCAACTCTTGTCATTTTGGACTTCACGAAGGAGCCACAACCACGAAGATGAAAATAACAGGGCCCGCCCTCTTTTATAACAAATCAAGTGAGTTTCCCAAGTCCCTTCCGAATGAACCATAGACTACCAGCAGTTTTGACCGAACCTCATATGTGTCGTTTTGGGAACGTACTGCCGTATCACTTGCAAAGAACGAACTCCAAAAAACAAAATGGGTCAACAGGGCCAGCCAGGTGGGGTCAACCAAAAGGGGCAACAACATCAAGCAGGGTCAACCTAAGAGGGTCAACCACTGCGGAAGCGTTAAACTGAGTTGTTATGGTCCAGCAGACAAACATGCTTGTTGACCCCCAAAATGACGCAAAAACAAGGATTCAACCTAATTAAGTGGCTTTGTCTCCAAATGGGAGACAACTCCCTAACGTCTGTTTGCTCTTTGGTTCCTCTTTAGAATGATTTACACCAAAAGTGCACAAACTCCAAAGAAACCACGTACCCAAATTGCAACAGCACCGAAGCCCAAAAATTGGATAATGATCTTGTCAAACCAAACACAGGGGGGGTTCATCAATCCCAAGTTGACTTCACCGAAAATCCTTTATGAGTTTCACGTAGTAGTGGTGGCAAAGCAGCAGCAGCAGCAGCAGCAGCAGCAGCAGCAGCAGCAGCAGCAGCAGCAGCAGCAGCAGCAGCAGCAGCAGCAGCAGCAGCAGCAGCAGCAGCAGCAGCACTAGCACCCTCTCCAAAAATGGCCAACTTGCAGGTTTTTGGAGCCACTATAACATGGGTGTCATTCCAAAATGAGTTTGTGTCCAAATAGGGGACCCTCCCAACATGGTGGGTGTCCCTTTAAGCCAAGCTGACCCGGTCGCCTTCAAAAACACACCCATCCAAAGTTTCAAAGGGTCTTCAACCATAACTGAAACAAAACATAAACTTATTTCTACTCCATAAGCCTTAACATATCTGAACATGTTGTTGTAGGGATCCCACAAAAACAAACACCGTTTTCCCTGGCCGCCGCTTTGCTCGGCCTGTGGCCAGGTGCGCCAGGGCGAAGGCCGCGTCGATGCGATCCCCGGAGCTCTCCCCGTGGAGCCGAGAGGCTAAGACCTCTACGGCGCCCTCCAGGCGGATGGCCGTCTGATGGGCCTGCCGCAGTGGGACCACCTCGTCACTTGTTGTGGACCCCTCAAGTTTAACTTTTTATAAATCCGATAGGAAACGCCTGGTATGAATGCGACCATATATCCTGGTATGAACCCCGGATGTAAAACCTCGGATACACCCGGAGTTTTTGGGTGAATCAAACGTGAATTACAGCGCACATTTCTAGAGTATTGAAGAAGTCTACAGTCTACCCAAAACCCATGGTAATGAAAAGGGTGGACACTCATTTCTGATTGGGATTTTCCTCTACCCTTCATCTACCCAGGAATTTATTGCAGCTCGCTTGGAGCCTAGCTTACTTAGCGCCCACTGGCTTACCCGATTGCCCAAGCAAAACTTCGCCGAAAATGGCGAGCTGACCGTGTTTCCACTTGGTTCCCAAGCTGAGCATCCCACAAATCCCACCACAAACGGGACCAGAGGATCTGATGTTCTGCAACCCGTCCGGATTTTAAGCGGATCGAAACCAGTGTTTAGTACTCATCATTGGTGGTTCCCCTTTCTGGCGGTTTTATGTTCTCGTAGTAGCGTCCTCGGATTCCGAACTTAACGAATCAAAAACCAGCAAGGGAAACTGACTCAAAATGGAAGGTGCTTCAACCATCCCAAAACGGCTGTCTCTTAACATTGGGACCCCTGCCGGCGGTGTCCTTCTAATTTCCGAGCCGAAGCGTTCGAGCCTCGATGTTCTGCGCCAGCATTGCCAGCGCGAAGGCTGCGCTGCCGAAGTCCCCCTCCGTCTCACCTGCGAAGGGATACTGAGAGGCCTGCCTAAACCAAAGGTCGCATCTTCGAGTTGGGCTGTCCCCTACCCTACCTAGGTTTTGATGGCTCATAGTCCACGACAAAATGAGCCCGCATCAGGCGGTTGGGATTATCATTTCCGAATGAACCCTGGGGGCATGTTTGAATGGGCCTCATCGAAATTTCAGCAGCTTCAGCAATAGACAAAACTTGCGTCCAATTTGGGGGCCGCCCCTGGCTTGTGTTGTATCCTCCCCGAACCAACAGCATCAATTCGTCAATGGGTTTGGGACAGGTTCCGAGCAGGTTCTGGGGAATGACACGTGGCAGGTGCCCTCCTGACAGCTAGGGGTGGTTGTTCTTTCCCCACAAGGAAACTGGAAGCATAGTGTATAAATCGGGGATCTGCAGGGGTCGAAATCCATTCTACCTCAATCAACATCTTGAAGGTGCCCGATGGGGGTTTACATCATCCAAAGTATTCCATAACATTTACCAAGGGGATGCTACACTCAGGGCACGTGGTAGGTCATCTGGGGGACGTGTTACTCTGCACATGGAACAAACCAAAACACAAGTTTAGAGGACTCTCCTGTCGGAGGACCTCCTTTTCCTATAGGGGTGATTCCTCATTCTGTTCAACTATTGCTTTCAAGAACCAGCCATTTCCCTTGGGTTGTTGGTTTGGAAAAAGATTGAACTTGGGGGACCCTCTTTTTGGGTTGCGCCCGTGACGCTTTTTTGACAGATCTGGAGGTCTTCGGTTCTCAGATTGCTGGGGTTCCTTCCCTTCATTGAGCGGCACCGAGTGATCTGGGGGGGCGAACAAAACCCGAAGATTCGCCTTGAGGATACCAAGGCCATCACGAATCGGACTCCTCACAGGTCTCAATTTGTATCCTGCGCGTCCGGTCCTGAGAGTTGTTGCACCAGCAGCGGCAAGGCACCCAGCTTCACCAGTGCCACCTGATACCTACGGAACGGAACGCACATCCGAGAGGGCTGGTCCGCCAAAGCTTTTGCAAAAAGGTCCACCCTGGGCTTTTTGGGAGGGAGGTCACAAAAACAAACTCCCAGACTCCCAGAATGAAATGTTCAGCTGTCCTCCCTTTGACTCATTTCTTGAGCGGATTGGACCGGAAAGGTTTGTAATTTGGTTGATGACTAACATGGCCATACGAAAGGCTGAAAGTCCACCAACTGAGAGCGCACAAATGGCAAAGGGCGGAGTTTTTGTTTTGAGACGCAAACAAAACGGGTATGCGGTACTTTGGTGTGAATTGGAAATTGATCCTTTGGACATCGTTAGGGGAGGGGGCGCTGTCCATCAACCAATTTTGAGGGGCTTCCGAAAATCCATGGCCAAATTGACAAAGGCGTCCTATGTTGCTTCTCCTTTAAACGCCATGCACTAGAGGGTCCCTAATGTTAGCAGCCCCCGGTGGGGGTTAAAACAATGGCGCATGTTGCGGTATGGCCCGCTTTCTGTGATAAAGTGCGCAATCCGTATAGCCGCTTTGTCACTTCTGGAATTTCTCCGATGGTATCATAGAATTGGGCCGTCCATCCAGGCAACAACTAAGGGACAGTGGGCAAGGTGTCGTGGATTTGAGACTTCGCGCAAAGCGCTTTCACCGAACCGGCGGTGCAAAGGGCTGCGATGATTGATCCCATTGTGATGTACAGGGCAAGGCCGTACGCCCAACCCGTGCATGTTCGTTTTTGGAACCCCGACATCCCCAATCGCAATTTCAAGAGGAATCTCCTTTCGAAGAAAGGGCTTCCCTTCTCTGGTTCGCCCAGTTTCCCAGTGACCTTGGTAGAAAAAAGGGAGCCATTTCTCTTTAGTGGGGACCCCCCTGAACCAACAAGTAAATTAGATGCCGCTGAACAGCTGGGAAACTGTTCTGGTCATTTGCAGGTGATGCGGTGCTGACGCGCCAACGGCATGTGTATTGTCCCCAACCGCGCTGTGCCGGCAAAAACAGGAGAAAAGAATGCCATTGGCTCTAATGAAATGTGTTTAAACATGCAAAAGCCAGAACAACTTGGGAAGTGCGCCAACCGTGGGTAATCACAAGTGATACTCGGAAGCGCAGTGCTACCTTGTAAAATCAATGCAAGTATTGTCAGTTGTGCTTTAACTTTAAAGATGAACAGGATCGCCCTGCTCAGCGAGTTTAAGCATTGCCTCTGCGGTGTTCTCGCGTCTGTGTGTTGAGTCGACATGGTGTTCCACCCATTTTCTTTGACTGATCACGCCCCCCATATCGCCCTATTTGGTGACCCGGCCGAAACTGTTACCACAGTTCCCGAAACCGCCCACGGCAATCAAAACACATATGAATTTTGACATGGCTTGACTTAAAGGGATGGCAATCTCTTGGGATGGCTTTACCTGTCAAACTAGGCATCCTCGTTTAGGCAGACCATCCGCCGAAGCATGCCACCGCCAAACCCGCGGACTCCGAATCCGGCCTGGGCTGTCCCTGGAGTAGCTGCGCCAGCGCAAAGGTGGCCTGAGAGGGATTATGGCCTTGTCAGGGGTCGATTCCTCAACCGTCGTTCTTTTCAAAACACTGCTGTTTTTCCTGCGTTGAAAAGAAGGCTCCTGGACGAATGGGACGTCAGCCTAGTCAAAAAGGTGACCCACTGGGGAGCCGCTGCACAAAGGGAGCCCTGTGACAAGCCCCAAATGATAGCCCAAGTGGTTTGCTTTTCAACCCACTGCGGATGTGAAGAGGAGAAAGGAGCTGGGGCGCGACCCCTTCCAGCAGGGGAAACCACCCCCAAGCCGCTTAGACGAACCGACAAGGGCCACCGCGACGAAGGCCAGCTACCAGGACCATGCCGAGAGAGAGCCAGGGAAGGAGCGACGAGGGCTGAAGACGAGCGGCCCCGGCCAAGTTTCGCGCCCTGCATTTTGCCCTTTTTCACCCATCAGACCCTGAGCGTTGGCGAGAAACGAAGCCTTTTTCGAGTTTCTGTAAACGTGTAATGGGAGTTACGAAGCAATATTGGGGAAAGAAATAATGATGTGTTTGTTTTGCTTGGTTTTCCAGTTGGAGAAAGTCAACTTTTGGCGTTTCTCCCGTAAATCTGCAGTGGCCAGCAAATAGACTATGTTTTGACAGCAAGAATATTTCAGCAAGGGCCGCATGGTTTTTCAAAAGAATCCTGGTCCCGCTACTAGCGTGGTGGGATCCCCTACACGAAATCTTGGAAGTCTGGGTACACCTTCGTATTGGTCTAGCCAAGAACTGAATGCAAGACACTTTGAAGACGATCCCAGGAAAACCGTCGACCAACTTCGTAGGTTAGTCTGCAGGGCACACATTGGTTCCCTTTTTAGACCACCCCAAACAAGAAGCACAAACACACATCCACTCATTCACCTGCTAAACGTGGGCGCTTCTGCAAGCCATCTGGTGACTTTCAACTGGCCCAAGTTTAAGTATCCTTGGATCCCCTAGGCGACGCTGAACCTGTCCAGCCTGACTCCGCTCCACTGCCTTGCCCTCCTTGAGCAACTTCACCAAGGCCGTCAGGCCCGGCGCTCCAATGGCCTCCTCACCGGCAGGAAACCCCACGAGAGCCATGTAACTGATGGCCAACTAGGAAAGCCAGGCATTTTATGAGGAAACCCAATAGAAGGCCAACCGGAAACCAGCTAACAAGGTAACCAACAACCAATCAGAAAACCCAACCACATAGCCAAATCCTTGCAGCTGGCCTGATGCTTGACGTTGTTCTTGGCAATGAGCCCCAGCGTGAGAGCGGCATATGCCTTCTCCCCACTCGCAGCTTCCTTGCTGCCAAGGAGGCGGATCAGGGGCTTCAATCCTCAGCGAGTGGTTGGATTCACCATGATTAAAAAGAACAAAAACATGGCACTTGAGCGGAACGGCCTTGCGAGAAAAGGGGCACCTTCTTTGGGTACTTGGTTTTAACGAGAAACCCCTCCCAAGCAAGGAACAACAAAAATGCAATCCCTGGTTGCCCCTGCCCCATAAACAGGACTCCTTAATTGCACGCGTGTTCGTGGTTGCGGGCTGGCAAACAACAAGTCCTGAAAACGAAATAAACAAGGAACCTAACCATACTACGTAGTCCTCCTGACAAGGCCAATGAATCCTCTTTGGTTGGCTAGCAAGCCACTTTTGGTGGATCCCCAACAACACAACGGAATCAAATGGCCACAAGCGGGTTTGTCTCTGAAGGGGAACCCCCTACAGTTGGTGTTTTGTCCCGCGGTGTGCCTTTGTATAACATGTCCCAGAAAGGGCCAATTCCAAACATGACAAGCGTGGCTGGGCCGCCGTTCATCTTGATCAGCGAGATGGGAAAGAGATGGTGCTCCTCGGCACAGGCCGGGTGCGAATTCCCCGCCAGTAGTGGTGTCCACCACCCCCAACCACCAAGGCCCCAGAAGTTCGCTCGGAACACCCACTATCTTACCGAAGGGCCACTATCTTACCAATGGGTGTGCACCTCGTGGTCCCTTCGGGGTGGTTGGGTAGTGGAAACTAAAGAGTGATTTACGGATCACCTGGGTTCCCCCCAAATTCATGTCTCCAGTCTTCCCAACAGAAAAAGGGTCCCAGGCTGCCAGTCAAGCGCAGTGCCTCAAAAGTGCCGGAAAAAGGATGGCGGCCCTCAAACTTACCTGTCAGTTTTTGCGAACAAACACCCGGCTGCTCCAAGGGTGTGAAGGCATGGTTGGTTGTCTTGTGTGTATCGTGTTTTGGTCGGAGTTGCGTCTTTTGCCTATTTGTGTTTGTATTTGCATTGCTTGTGCGCATGTTTGCTTTTCTCCTTTTTGCCATCTCCTCAAGTCTTATTGCTTTTTCCAGCCACCGCAAGGCCCCAGGCCCAAACAAACCACGGCGTGGACTCTTTCTGCGCCCGGCCTTCATGAGGGTGGCCAGTCTTTTCGTGGCCTCATTGCGCTGCTGTGAATCCTTGGAGCCGAGGGCCTGGATGCACGGCTCCAGGATCCTGAGACGGCCGCGCAGGGAAGGCCTTGAAGAGTTGGAATGGGGTAATTGTTCCTAATGTCTCTTTTTGCGGAAACCTGTGTTTGGAGGGTTTTGAAGGGCAAACAAGAGGTAACCAACCATTTTTGGGGTGACTACTGTAATTTGTGGGTATACTCGCCCACAGATTAACTAGACACCCCCAAAACCTCTCTATTCGAAGAGGATTCTCCTTTTGGGGCCTGCTCGGGTTCGGTTGTATAGTTCTATGGTTGCATGTGGTTGGTGTCTAGTTCCAAGGGGAAGCAACTCAGAGTACCCCTGTTGTGCGATGACCTTCTAAAATTAGGAGCGGCTCGGATCAACCCTGATGTTGTTTGAACAGAATGGGCAAGCGATGCAGCACAGCGTGTGGGGGGAGGGGGGCGGGGTTGTACTGCAGCACGTTGGGTGGTTGTCAAACATATTTGGCCATTTTGCACTCGGGTGCCGCCTGGTGCTGGTGCTGCCTTTTACCAACAAGCGCCCCTAATTTTGCTCCCCAAGATGTAAGTCTGGCATGGATCTTCACGGTGTCCATCGCATAGGGCACGGAGAGGCCCACTCAGCAGCCCATGGGACGAAGCACCGGATAGCAAAACGGTACACCTTGGGTGTGGCCTGCCAAACATCTCGTTGCACAGTAAGGTCTTCCTCGAGCAAGCCCTTAGCAACAAGGAATCGTGTGGTGTGACTTTGATGCAAAGGTAACTCACAAAGCTCCCTGGAGTCATAGAGCTGCAGCCATGTGCAAGACATATCTTCAGCTTCAGATTTATGGGTTCCCTTCATATCGAAAGTGAGCAGCGACGTTTGAAAAGTTGGCTCCACCAACATGACTATAAAGGCTTCAGCAAGCAAAGGAGGTGGGCGGTGCTCAAGTAAGCCCTTGTGCGGTGCCTTGTTTGCCGTGCAGTGGTATTGACCATCCAAAGAACCGGTCATCTGCGACAGCCAAAGCTGCACGAAACACATTCTCCTTGCTCCTCGCCGGGGCCTTTTTCTTCTTGTCTGCCTGTCAAGTTGATTGTCGACAAGCATCAAAACAGCAGCCACGAAATTCGACGCTCATGCTGGCGAGAGAACATGAGCATAGTTGGCAGGTGCTTTCTCTGCGCGTACTTGCCATTTCGAAACAAACTGGATGTGCCTGGCCGTCCGTCATGTCGTCATGTCGGGTGCTTTTGAGGGTACCCTTTTCAGGTTGGATTGGCGGGAAAGCAGTCAAGCAGTCCCCTTTTGACACCTACCATCACCTACCCATACGGCTCCCAAAGCCATGGGGCACCGTCTTGTCAATGGTTGAGCCCGCAGGTGGCTCGAATTGGGACTTTCCGAGCTTCTCATTGACCTCAGCGGGCACAGCTGCCAAAGTTTGCGCGTAACCCAAGCAGAAGTTCAGAATCTCGTTGTGTTGTTTGCTTATTCAATTGCTTGGTTGTTTGGTTGCTTGTTAGTTGGTCTGTCCGTCTGTGTCTTTCTGTCCTTCTGTTTGTCCGTCCGTCTGTGTGTCTCTGTGCCTCTGTTTCTTTCTGTTGATCGTTTGATTGTTTATTTACTTTGCTTTTTTGCCTGATTGTTTGGTTGCTTGCTTGTTTGTGTGCTTGCTTGCTTGCTTGTTTGCTTGTTTGTTTGTTGGTTGGTTGGTTGGTGGATGGGCTGGTGGGTCAATGGGTCGGTGGGTCGGTGGGTCGGTCGGTCGGTTGGTTGCTTGCTTTTGGTTGGTTGTTTTTGGTTGCTTGTGTTTGATTGGTTGTTCTTGGTTGGTTGTTTTTGGTTGGTAGTTCTTGGTTCGTTGTTCTTGGTTGGTTGTTCTTGGTTGGTTGTTCTTGGTGGGTTGTTCTTGGTTGGTTGGTTAGTTGCTGGGTGATTGGTTGGTTGGTTGTGTTGTGTTGTGTTGTGTTGTGTTGTGTTGTGTTGTGTTGTGTTGTGTTGTGTTGTGTTGTGTTGTGTTGTGTTGTGTTGTGTTGCCTTCTGTTGTGTTGTGTTGTGTTGCGTTGGTTAGTTTGGGGTTGGTTGCATTTTTGTATGTTGTTTCTTGCTTTCTTTACTTGCTTCTTTGTTTCCTAGTTTCTGTGCTTTCAGGTCTCCGTGTTTCCTGTATTCTCTTCTTTCTTTGTGTTTTGGTTGGAGTGGTTGGCTGGTTGTCTTCTTGGAGGTTTGCGGCTGGTCAGGGATGGTATTTCCGACTCAACCTGGAACCTATTTCTGGGGTTGGAAAATAAACATGGTCTCGGATCACCGTGTTTCGGGAATGAGTAGACTAGAATTCGGCCATGCCCAATGCTGAAGCCAGGAAGTGCCTCCTCAGCTTGTACCCCCATTCTCACGTAGTTGATCAAACGTTGGATCTGTTTTGCAAGGAGCGACGCGGGGGTGTCAGGATCCAACCAGTACAATTGCCTTTTTCTATGCAGCCTTGGTTGCTTCCTTGACAAACAGTCAACTATCATGCTCCCACCCCCCTTCGTGGGGTTCAGTCCGAGCACCATAGCGGGCTCCTTTTCCATGGATATTCACAGGACCGCCAGAAAGAAACTCACTGCATGTTGAGCCCGTTTAACGATGCCCCTGGCAGGCCGCAAGTCTGAGTTTGCCCCCCAAAAAACATCACCTTTTCGGCACGCGCACAGGAACAAGACACACCTCACCCAAGTCTCTCCAGGTGTCCTTTTGCAAGGATCCCTACGGTAAATGATAGGAACCAAGCTGAAGCCGCCGGAATCCGTGTATCTTGAACCAAAACTGACCTAAACAGGACACCTGTGCTCTCTGAGGTCTCCGTCATAGTAGGTCTTGCCGGTGCTCCTTGGCATTCTACAAATCACTCGCGGTCTCCGGTGCGCTTTTCTTGTGCTTTGCTTGCCCGTTTCGCGAATCTACTTTAAGGGACTGAATTATTAGAATAGGGGTTGCGGGATACTGTAAGACTGAATTTAGCGCAAATGAGCGGTGTCAACTGGAAAGCCCCGCATATCAATCTCAGGTTTTTGGTGACAGGTCGCGTCGTTTTACTAAGTGGGCCTGCTCATCTAGCATATGAAACAGGTGCCCTGCTTCTCCAACATCCCAACCTGCGTTGAATCCTGCGGTCCCCACATTGGTCCGTTTGCGACCTGCTTTGGGAGCCGCTTGCCCAGGACATCACTCAAAGCCCGATGCCATGAGAAGCACATCTACAATATGTTCCCATTGCCGGTAGTGTACCTCTCACGCTCAGCTTCACTTTAGGGGCAAATCCAAGCATGTGTTCAATTTGTGGTAGTCTAAAATTGACTCCCTAGAGCCCAAGCCCCTACAAGTATCAGAAGGTTAACCCCCGTGTCTATGCGGTATCAAGGGATCTATACAAAACCCATGGTGAAGAATCAGAAGGGTGGCTTTGCGCACCTATGTCTGGTTGGGACTTTTGTGGTCGTGGGAAAAATGCCGCCCATTTTTGGGTGCTGTAAAGGGGTACGCGAAGGGGGTCCAACGGGGAAGAGTGAGCAGTCTCTGGACCCAACCATCAGGACTGGACGCAGGACATCTGAGCTGCCGAACACGGCTTGCACCCCTGTACAGTTGCAAAAGCTGCTTGCTAAAGAGTGCAGCACCAAAAGCACGGCCAAGCCGGCTGCCACCAAGCCGCGTTGCACTGGCGTGGCACAGGGTGGGCAAAGCCAAGGGACACCCCCTCCCCAAAAAAGAAGGTGTCCGATTTTCGGGACTCTGGTTCCTGGCTCCACAAGTGACATCCTCACAAAGTGGCCCCAGAAAGGGCACTGAGGGCTGTGCCGTGACTTCCTCACCTCCCAGCCGTCTGGGAGTTGGCGCTGGAAGCCCTGCCGCACATGGGTGCATGATACATGCTTGAGAAAAAACAATCATTTTGTGTGATGCCAAAGCCTATTCCCATGACTCATGCTAGCTTATCACCACAAGGCGGTTCGCTTGGTATCACAGAAAGTAGACAGAAAGTGATGCCGACCCCGATTTTCCACAACGGGCATTGATATCGGAGCACCTGAATGGTGCTTTGCTGCTGTCCCGGAAAAAAGGGTACCCTCAACAACAACATATCTTGGTGGGAAGTGCTTCCCCAATTGAAATAAGCAACGCACAACATCTGCAGCGGCGGCTATGCTCATGCACAAGTGTGAAGAGCAGAACTAACTTATGTCCAAAAGTTATTGAAGAGGCCTTTCTGGTTCAATGTCACCGTGCCCGCTGATCATGTGAGTTGCAAGGCTACACCGTCCTCAGGCTGTCCTACAACAAAGCAATCTTGCTTGAGGGTGCAAATGAAATGCGTTCATGATACAGTCAACTGAATCAACATTCAGAGACCAATGATCATGACATGAAGGAAGCTGAAGTGTTGAACTATTCTTGGGTGTCCAGGCTGCGCAGAGTGGTGTAACGAGTATGTTTTTTTTTTTTTTTTTTTTTTTTTTTTCTGGCGCGCGAAATGGATCGATTTATTCGCGTGGACATCAAAAAGCCAAGCACATCGCCCTGGCTAACACATGGCCGCCAGGAGATATTGATGTGTACATCTATATATATATATATAGGTATTGATCATGGAGAAAGAAGTCGTCATCCAGCGGATGAAAACTGCGGTGATCAAGTCCAGCGCTGAGGCTGTCTCATGCACATTCAATGGTGGAACCTCTGGCGCTCAAACTCTCCAGGCTCGGCAGGCTCAATGCCTTTAAGCTATGGTCAAACTCCTCGCCCAAAGTCAGGCTCTGCAAGCTGCTTGGCAGCTTCACTGCTTCCAAGCTATGGCGAAACTCGTCACCAAAGGCAAGACTCTTCAGATTGCTAGGCAGGGTCACTCCCTCTAAGCTTTGGTTGAACTCTAGCCCAAGAGCTAGGCTCTGCAGGCTGCTCGGCAGGGTCACTCCCTCCAAGGGTTGGTTGAACTCATCTTCAAAAGCGAGACTCTGCAAACCGCCAGGCAGCGTCACTCCCTCAATGGCTTGGTTGAACGCACAGCCAAAAGACAGGCGCTGCAAACTGCTTGGCAGGATCACTCCCTGCAAGCTTTGGTTGAATTGAAAGTCGAAGATCAAGGTGACCAGGCTACTTGGCAGATTCACTCCCTCCAAGCTCTGGTTGTAGTGATAGCCGAATGTCAAGCTCTCCAAGCCGCTTGGCAGCATCACTCCTTGCAAACTCTGGTTGAAGTTCGGGCCAAACTTCAAGCTTTGCAGGCTGGCAGGCAAAACTACGCCTTGCAAACTTTGGTTGAATCCCCAGCCGAAAGTCAGGCTTTGCAGACTGTTGGGCAGAATCACATCTTGCAATCCTGAGTAAGCCTTACTGCCAAGCATCAGGCTCAGCAAGCTGCTCGGCAGTGTAATGCCTGACAAGCTTTGCGCCTCGCCACGGCCCAACGTCAAGTCCCTCAAGCTGCTTGGAAGCTCTACTCCCTCCAAGCAGTCGTTAAAGCGACCGCCTAGGGTCAAGTTCTGAAGCCCGCCTGGCAGACTTACTCCCTTTAAGGGCTGATGGAAATTACGGTCAAAAATGAGGCTTTGCAAACCACTTGGCAAGCTCACTTCCTGTATGCTTTGGTTGTAAGCATAGCCGAAAATGAGGCTCTGCAAGCTGCTTGGCAGCGTCACTCCCTTCAAACTCTGGTTGAAGAGGTCTCCAAACGTCAGGCTCTGCAAACCACTGGGCAGAGTCACTCCCTGCAAGGGTTGGTCAAACTTGGAATCGAAAGTCAGGCTTTGCAAGCTGCTGGGAAACATCACTCCCTGCAAGGGTTGGTTGAAGCTGCGTCCAAGAGTAAGGCTCTCGAGACTGTTCGGGAGAGACACCCGCTCCAAACTCTGGTTGAAGTCCGTGCCATCTTCGTCAAGGGGTATCGGCTCGTTGCTCGGGAATGCCAGGCTCTGCAGATTACCAGGCAGCGCCACTCCTTCCAAGCTTTGGTTGAACTCTAGACCGAAAGCCAAGCTCCGCAGACTGCTCGGCAGGGTCACTCCCTGCAAGGGTTGGTTGAAACACTCGCCGAAAGCCAGAGTTTGAAGGCTGCTTGGCAGCGTCACGTCCTGCAACGGTTGGTTGAATTGCGCGCCGAAAGTAAGGCTTTCCAAGCTGCTTGGCAGTGTCACGTCCTGCAAAGGTTGGTTGAATTCCTCACCGAAAGTCAGGCTTTGAAGTCTCTCTGGCAAAGCTGCTGCTTTCAAAGGCTGGTTGAAACCGATGCCGAAAGTGAGGCTGAGCAAGCTGCTTGGCAGAGTCAATCCGTAGAGGTGCTCATAGGTGCCTGGTCGATGGTAGGGCGAAGCAAACAGCCACTTGTTTAAACGTAGCTGAAACGCTGAAACACTGGCTCAGGTTGGTTTTCCCTGAGCTTTGCCCAGTGTCCTGGCCTGGCCCCAACGAAAGCTTTGTGACCCCTTCCATGGACTCCGCTTCCATCTCTTGTCCTTGCAGCACATGCCATGCTTTGGGCAGGTTAACCCGAGCGTAGCTGTAAGTGCACTGCGAAGATGCCCGCACGCCTTGCTTCCGCAAAGTCTCGCCGGGCAAGACCTTGCGAAACGCGGGCCCAAGACAAAAAGTCAAGGACCCGTACCCAATACACAAAAAAAAGACACCTGTGTTTGATGTGTGTGTCAAACGGGTTAAACGCCACCAAAAAATAAACAACTCCCAGCCCGGCCTTCACGTCGTTACAGACGAGGCAAATCGAAGAACAGCGCTTCGGCGGCAGCTGGCACCTCACCTGCCGCAGCAGCTCGCGGCCCAGCATCTCCTCCCGGCAGCTGACGCGCAGCTCCGACCCGTCCAGGCCGCTGATGGTCAGCTCGAAGCCATAACCCGCCATGGCTACCAAACTCAAAGGAGGGGCAAACACAGGTCCACTGATTTTGGTCTCGAGCTCCAAAGTCAAGCAGTCTGAAATGCCCGTTGCGATTGTCGGTGCTCAGTAGGGAATGACCCAGGGTGTTGGGAATGGAAATTTCAAGGATGGTTTATACGGGTCATTCCAATTCTCATTCCCTGCCTATCGAACCAGCAATTTGGGCCGGGTCAACATCTCAACATTCACCATGCGCCTGCGCCACGCCGCCTCCAGTGATCTGCTTCTGCGCCGGCTGCGCTGGCCTTCTCTGACGTGCTGACCATGGAGCCCATGGGCGTGTTTTGAGCGCGCCCGGTTCGGGATTGTTCAGTGGCAAATCCAAAGGAACAACACCATTTCCGATTTGAAAACAAGCCCAAGTGTGATTTGCTCCATGTTTTCTTTGTGTCCAACTAGCAAAACAAGGACGCCATAAACGGCTGACGCAAATGGCCCGTGGTTCGTGTGAATTGAGACCTGGAAAGCAATGCAGCGGGACTGCCTTCAAAGCCCAATGATGGATTGCAAGAAGATTTACGAGTCCCTTGGTAGAGAATTTCGTGAGCTCCGCCATGTCCTTTCCAGAATCATGGACTATTGGCGATTCTGACCGAGCCATCTGATCCGACGCCAAACTCCTCTTGTGCCAAACTGGAACATCTCTAGCATCTTTCGTTTTTGAATGGTCGTCCTTGTTTTACTTGTTGTTTTGTCACGTGTGCCTCGTCTCCCAAGCGTGACATCGACCCGCTCCCTCTGCTCACAGGCTAGTGTCACTATTGGCAGCTTGTTCTTTGCAAGCCTTGTATTTCTACGTATTTCTGTTTCTGGCTATCAACATGACTGGCCAGCTGGGGTCTTGGAAGCGGCCTTTTTAAACTCCAAACAACTATGGTTGCTTCTCATCTATTGTATTTCAAAGAAGCCAATGGATACAATACTTTTGAGCTTTGTCTGGCCTTCGTGTCAAGACCTGCTCGCACCCTGCAAATCCTCCAAATGCAAATGAGGAGCCTTCGTTTTTAATGGTCGTCCTCGCTTTCCGGGCTTTTCATCCTATTCCCCTCCAACACATATCCCTTACACGAACCTTTTCAGTGATAGCCTGGTAGCTCCAGTAGCTCATCTCGATTCTTTACCACAAGTGCAGGGTATGGCAAGATTCCGCTTACGCTCGGGTCTTAAAGGTAGACGTGGTAAACCGAACACACCAGCCACCTGGGTGGATGCTGCAAGTAGCAATTCACAAGCCCATAATCAGGGAGCCCTACTGTGGATGGACAAAATCCTGCACCACTTAAATGGACTGTTTGTCCCATGTGCACAGGCATTCATTCATCCCAACTGATGCAAAATGGATTTGTCCATCCACGGTATGATGGCAACAGTCATGGATGAAGTCCCAAACTCCCTAGTGAGATTGCCATTATTTGGCCCAAAGTTTGACACACAGCCGAGCAACGGACAACTCGAATGGGACAACTTGAGGCCGATCTGAACTTCTGGTTTTTGCGGGCGCTGGGCCCGGCCCCTCCTGATTTTGGGGAAACGGGACGGTGCTCGGGGTGGCGAGCTGAGGCTAGCACTGTGCCTCCGCCTGAATCACGTGCAAACTTCTTCCGATGGGGATTTGGTGACCGGCACCCCCCCCCTCCGGGGCTTGCCTATGATTCATGGTTTCTCATATGCTGAGAAAAGAATACCCTCCCTCATAGTTTGTCAGGCTGTCACATATATGGTACCCTTTCTAGGGAGTTGAACGGGAGGCACTGCAGCCCTTCTTGTCCCCAATGGAACCCTGCGGTTGTCAGGCTCAACATGGACACCCAAGCAGGCAGAATGACACCATGGTCCCAAAAGGACAAAAGGATGTTGGCCCCTTGTTTGACAACTCCTTCGATAGTAGTAATAATAATGATGATCATAATAAGAGGCTTGATTGTGGTCCATATTTAGCGAACCATTGACAGCCCCTTCTGCAATCTCGACAACCCCATGAAACTCCATATTGAAACCAAGCAACCACGTCTTTGAACACTGGCAGATGCGCCTTGGGTGTCAATTTGACAGCATCATAGCCTGGCAGGACGTGAGCACAATGTCACTTCTTTTGGCAAACCGTCCTTTCCATTGCCCTGTTCATGGTCGGTTCATCGTTTTCTCTATAGCAACCAACCAAAACCCCAGCATTGGGTTTTTGTCCGGCCAACTCAACGAATCTGAAACGCTTTCGCCTGAGTAGACTGTGACGGCGCCGCCATTTTTGATGGATTTGTTGGATGCCTCAGTACGTGTGTGTGTGTGTGCGCACACCTTAAAGGCAAGCAAGCCCCCCAGGAAAAGCACAACTGTAAACAAATTATTCGGGACCAGGCTGGATCTTGAGTCCATGCTCTTGACAAATCGTCTCAGAATGAGGCGCCCCTCTCGGTGGTTGGTCTCCAGTTGGTGTCCTTGGAAACCAGCCAAAAGGGTGTCCCCTACTTCGAGGCAAACCAAAATCTGTAGCAGGGGCTTGAGGCTCCCGCCAACCCTTCCACGCCCTTCCTCTTCTTTGGCTTGGCTTCACGTGGGGGCGAGCCAGGAGGAGCCTGCGGCGGAGGGGGGTATGGTGGACATAAAGTCAATTTTGGAACAACCTTCTTCAAATTGCTATGTCTGTGTGGAGGTGAGGTTTTGTGGGGTGAGGTGCTGCAAAATAGCCAAGTGCATGGGGAAGGGTGGGGGGATGGGCAAACTCCAAACATGATGGATTAATAATGATGAATATTGCGACCATGCCCCTTCTTTAAGGCAAGGCAATCTTTGGATTAGGTGCCGCAAAATGCACTTCCTCCGTCACACGGTCCGTCATGTGCTTCGTGGTTTACCCACAGGTTGTTCACGCGGGTTTCTGGGTTTCCCCTCGGTTCCCACGGATCTTGCTCAAGATGTCCGGTCTTGCCTGCGCGGTGACCGCTGGCCTGGGCACACAATAGAATTCAGTCTGAATTGATTCCCAAAAGGGATACTTCATCACGGGCCTCAGTTCGTTTGACCCCTCGGTGAGCTTGCCCTAAATATCGACACATGCCGGCTCCCTGACCCAAAAGGGGCTTGTAGCCAGATCTCCTGGTTCAACTTACAGGTGTTCGGGAAAAGTCGAAGTACGAATTGGATTCCCATGAACAGGACCATCATGAGTTTTCGCTCGTTTTACCGAATCAGTGACTCGAATCAGTCAGGCTCCACACTGGGGACATTTGAGCGTACCTTGTTCTGATTTGAATTGGAAACTACGAGGAAACCGCCGTTTTGGGGCTTCCCGTCTTGGGAAGACAAAGATATTTGCCGACCTTTATATTTACATGCCCACACACACACACACGCCTGCCGAGCATGACTCGAATCTTGTTTCCCCTGCAGTCCCCTGACATTTGTTGGAGTCAATCCCAAATGAACAAACACATCTGGAAAGTTTGACCAAACTTCGCATGAATCCCTGGCAGGTCGCATGACCCTCCCATCCCGCAATCCTCTCAGCCCGACACCCAGCATCCTCAGCAAGGGTTTGGCCACTGGAAGCTTGAAATGATTTCCCTTGTGGCAGAGTATGAAGGGTTGCAAGGCGTGATCCTCATGAAACTATGGCCAAACACATCAAATGTTGGCTGCTTTAGCTATTGGGGACCCAGCTTTGTCCAACCAAGCCTAAGTCGACTTCCATTTTACCGAGCAGAAATGGGGGTTGACAAACACAGGGTCCCTTAGCTATTTGTGTCGCCACGTTTCCTTACTCGTTCAAGCCTTTTTTAGGCACGCGTCTGTCCAGTGGCAACTGCCCGCTATACACTTCAATACGGAGCGGAAAAGCGTGGCGGAAAAGAATATGCACGCTGCATCCGATAGGCCACTTCAAAACATTCGTACATATGGTTGATGGACAAACAGTTGACATGGACGAAACTTTGCAAATACTGGGATAAACCACCTCAGAACTGGAGAAGTTTGTCCACCCACAGTGTTCTGATCAAAAGGTCTTTATGGACTCAATGTCCAGGGTGAACTCTCCTGCCTTAAAGTTTGGATTGAGAGCGCCATCATAGCCAAACTTGCTGAGCGTGATCTGCACAGCTGTCAACTGTGCCTTGTTGAACACCTCGGGTGCGCTTCAAGCCACGGTTTCAAATATCAAACACCTTCTGTCAACAATCTGTTGGCTCCCCGTTCAAAGAGGGGGGTCTGGAAAAATACTTTGTTGTTTGGCAACCGCCTGATCGGAGACGCTGCGGGCGAAGAGGGTTGGAACAAGCTCCGAGAAGGGCGCTGAAGCCTCAATCACGCCATCCATGGAAGGCAACAAACTTCTGGTGTCGAACTCATAGCTCCAGGCAATGCCATTCCAATCCTTGATTCGTTGATCCCTTGCCACACGAACCGTTTAGAGGCCATGTATCCCGCGAACGACTCTGAACATCAAAACGGCCAAGGGTATTGCTGCTACAAGTTTAACTTCCAGTGGGATGTCTCATACACTGAGAACGATTCCAGAAATTTATGGGGATGCTGAGAAAAAGAACTTACACAAACGCAAATACAAAACACCAAAACCCAAAAAGAAGAACTTTCAACAACATACAAACCACAAAAATACAGCAACATGCAGTCAGGGACAGGAAAGGGGCAGGACGTAGCAAGACAACCCTCAAAATGCGCAAAATCAAACAACAGCAAACCAGAGAAACAACAATACAATAATCAACAAAACAGAAATAGCAAGATCAGGCATTGGGCAGGACCAACACCAAGAATCGAACACCCGGCGAATAATATTGGACGAAAACAACAACAAACAATTAAAGGACCGGATAACCCCACATGCTATGTTTTTCCCAAATGTCCACACACATGTACCGTGCGCCCCTTGTATGGATGCGATTACAGAGCACCCAGATGCACAGAATGCAGCGCCTGCCACGACTTCGGCAACGGCATCGCCAAAGTGCTGCGCCTGCCACGATTTCGCAACGGCATCGCCAAAGTGCTGCGCCTGCCACGATTTCGCACGCCCCCCGCCGCGCGCGCGACAACATCCTGTCCCTCTAGACAGCTGCCGAATGCGACCCCTGCCACACAAACACACACCCAGATGCACAGAATGCTGCGCCTGCCACGACTTCGGCAACGGCATCGCCAAAGTGCTGCGCCTGCCACGATTTCGCAACGGCATCGCCAAAGTGCTGCGCCTGCCACGATTTCGCACACCCCCCGCCGCGCGCGCGACAACATCCTGTCCCTCTAGACAGCTGCCGAATGCGACCCCTGCCACACAAACACACACCCAGATGCACAGAATGCTGCGCCTGCCACGACTTCGGCAACGGCATCGCCAAAGTGCTGCGCCTGCCACGATTTCGCAACGGCATCGCCAAAGTGCTGCGCCTGCCACGATTTCGCACACCCCCCGCCGCGCGCGCGACAACATCCTGTCCCTCTAGACAGCTGCCGAATGCGACCCCTGCCACACAAACACACACCCAGATGCACAGAATGCTGCGCCTGCCACGACTTCGGCAACGGCATCGCCAAAGTGCTGCGCCTGCCACGATTTCGCAACGGCATCGCCAAAGTGCTGCGCCTGCCACGATTTCGCACGCCCCCCGCCGCGCGCGCGACAACATCCTGTCCCTCTAGACAGCTGCCGAATGCGACCCCTGCCACACAAACACACACCCAGATGCACAGAATGCTGCGCCTGCCACGACTTCGGCAACGGCATCGCCAAAGTGCTGCGCCTGCCACGATTTCGCAACGGCATCGCCAAAGTGCTGCGCCTGCCACGATTTCGCACACCCCCCGCCGCGCGCGCGACAACATCCTGTCCCTCTAGACAGCTGCCGAATGCGACCCCTGCCACACAAACACACACCCAGATGCACAGAATGCTGCGCCTGCCACGACTTCGGCAACGGCATCGCCAAAGTGCTGCGCCTGCCACGATTTCGCAACGGCATCGCCAAAGTGCTGCGCCTGCCACGATTTCGCACGCCCCCCGCCGCGCGCGCGACAACATCCTGTCCCTCTAGACAGCTGCCGAATGCGACCCCTGCCACACAAACACACACCCAGATGCACAGAATGCTGCGCCTGCCACGACTTCGGCAACGGCATCGCCAAAGTGCTGCGCCTGCCACGATTTCGCAACGGCATCGCCAAAGTGCTGCGCCTGCCACGATTTCGCACGCCCCCCGCCGCGCGCGCGACAACATCCTGTCCCTCTAGACAGCTGCCGAATGCGACCCCTGCCACACAAACACACACCCAGATGCACAGAATGCTGCGCCTGCCACGACTTCGGCAACGGCATCGCCAAAGTGCTGCGCCTGCCACGATTTCGCAACGGCATCGCCAAAGTGCTGCGCCTGCCACGATTTCGCACACCCCCCGCCGCGCGCGCGACAACATCCTGTCCCTCTAGACAGCTGCCGAATGCGACCCCTGCCACACAAACACACACCCAGATGCACAGAATGCTGCGCCTGCCACGACTTCGGCAACGGCATCGCCAAAGTGCTGCGCCTGCCACGATTTCGCAACGGCATCGCCAAAGTGCTGCGCCTGCCACGATTTCGCACGCCCCCCGCCGCGCGCGCGACAACATCCTGTCCCTCTAGACAGCTGCCGAATGCGACCCCTGCCACACAAACACACACCCAGATGCACAGAATGCTGCGCCTGCCACGACTTCGGCAACGGCATCGCCAAAGTGCTGCGCCTGCCACGATTTCGCAACGGCATCGCCAAAGTGCTGCGCCTGCCACGATTTCGCACGCCCCCCGCCGCGCGCGCGACAACATCCTGTCCCTCTAGACAGCTGCCGAATGCGACCCCTGCCACACAAACACACACCCAGATGCACAGAATGCTGCGCCTGCCACGACTTCGGCAACGGCATCGCCAAAGTGCTGCGCCTGCCACGATTTCGCAACGGCATCGCCAAAGTGCTGCGCCTGCCACGATTTCGCACGCCCCCCGCCGCGCGCGCGACAACATCCTGTCCCTCTAGACAGCTGCCGTGAGTCAGCGAGTGTGAGCGAGTGAGTGAGTGAGCGAGTGAGTGAGTGAGTGAGTGAATGAGAGTGAGTGATGAGAGTGAGTGTGAGTGAGTGAGTGTGAGTGAGCGTGAGTGAGTGTGAGTGAGTGTGAGTGAGTGAGTGTGAGTGAGTGTGAGTGAGTGAGTGTGAGTGAGTGTGAGTGACTGAGTGTGAGTGAGTGAGCGAGTGTGAGTGAGTGAGTGTGAGTTGAGTGAGTGTGAGTTGAGTGAGTGAGAGTGAGTGAGTGAGTGAGACGGAGACGAGCGGGAGGAGGAGGAGGAGGAGACGCGGCGCGCGGACGACGAGCGGAAAAAGTAAGAACCCCACACAAAGATGTGGGGAACAACATAATTAAAACGGAACAAAACACAATGCCGCCAGGGAAGGGCATGGGGCAGCACAAACATGCATGCATGGAGTGATTGTTTCGGGTGTTGTTCGCCTGTTACGTCCATCATTTCTATGGAACCCACCTGTTGGCAAACTCTGGCATAGGAACCTCAGAAAACCATACATAGATCATAGTATCAGCTTGTGTTCGAAAAGGGGAACCCCACAAATGGGTGGTTTCCTTTGGTTCGCCTGACACCCCAGCCGTACGGCCGGGAGTGCTGAGAGTCGTAGGAGTCCCGGATGATGAGCTTGAAGCGTTGCCCATCGCCGCCCTTCACTCGGATCTTCAGGCCGGTGCATTGTGAGACGTCCTGCACTGCCCCTCCGAGTGGAATAAACCGTTGAACTCATGGTTTGTAGGGACCCCCAAAGGTTTAGGATCAAACGTTAGCCTTAAAATAAACTTCAATGAAGCAAGGTTTGATGGGCAAACAGTCATCATGACAACGTTTTTCAGGTCGTAGGCGTCCAGGGCCGGCTTGATGGGCTGGGAGCGAATGCCTGCAAAGCCACCCCCCTCGGTGATGACGTTACCCCGCCAGGAGGTGCCTTGGAGCTTGGACTGGGAAGCTCCGCCCATCACCACGTCATCTAAGGGGCCCCACACCAAACCTCAGACTGAGACATCCGACAGAAAGTTAGAACTGCAAAAGGTTGAAAGACCTGAACATGAAGGAAAACTAAAAAAGGGCAAAAGGTAGCAAAGGCTTCTGAGTGTGGCCATGAAACCCAAAGGGTTCTCTGCAGACCAGACCGTGGTATCTGGTGTGATGGCCTTGGCAGTGCCAGGTCCGCTTTGCTCGAACACGCTCAGAGGATTGGGCAGCGCCCCGAAGAATGCGGCCTTGGATCACGAACGCCGTGCGCCGTACGAAGAAAAAACAAGGGTGGCCGTTCTGTGCAAACTTCTTAGCTGAAGATTTACTAAACCTGGCAGAGCTGGTTGCTGCACATGACAAGCCCTTGTTGACATCGACCCTCAAATGCCCTCCAAATTGACACAGAATGTATTGCCCTCAAAGCTACTGAACAAGTAGTACGACCCTGGGCAAGGCAAGGGGTTCTCACACAAGCTTTCCCCGTGAACAATTTGGCAGCAGTGGATATTGGAAGTAGGGAACAAAATAAAAGCCTGCGATTTCCGATGGCTTGTGGTTGGTTTTGCTTGCAAGAAGTGGCATAGAATAAGTCTACCCCCAACCCATGCAAAGAATCAAATTGGGGCTGTCCCCAGATTCATCCCCCATTCGGTTTGATTCTGGCTCCCCTTAAGCAAATCCGGGCAAATGGCTAAAGTCCGGAACCGCAACTGTTCAACATGACCTGGTAAAGTTGATCAAGGGCGAGCTCGTTTCATCCTCAAATCAGTGAGCTTTGCCTAGAGCAAAGCACCCCCTTGCTTAAACATACTTTAATCGCTTTATTTGCAAGCTCCTATCGGTTTCCCTTTAAAGGGGAACAGTCCAGAGGCAAGCGGTATAAACCAATGTTGCTCAACCCTGCCTTCAAAAAACAATACCGTCTGGTCGCAAAAGAGACTCTAGTAGCGATTTAGCCCTTTGTCTCAAATAGGGGAACCTCCAACATGGTCGGTTTCCTGTTGGTTTGCATTGAAAACCATCCAAAAGGGGTACCATCAAGGCAAGACAGGCTTTTACGTCTCCTTGACTCACATGCATGTGCAGCAAAGTGCAACAATTCACCGCGCGGCGGTGCGCAAAGCTCTGAAGCCATCCCAGGGGGGCCGCTCGGCTTCGGCCCGAAGAACTGTCCTCGAGGGAGGGGGGGGGGTGATCACCTCCTCAGTCCTCCATGAGGCCGATTTTTGTCGGCTGATCCTTGAAATAAATATTGGGCCAGGGATACCGGCCCATGACTTGATGGCTTCAAACTCCTTAACCAAATTGGGAGTGGGTCTAGAGGAAAACCTAAAAACGAAATAAATGGGGGTCAGACTGGGGCCTGCCTAACATGTCAAGAAAGTGTTTATTTAGTATTGGCTTAGCACTGGTTTAGTATTGGTTTAGTATTCAAGTGTACTGATTCTGTGCTGTAGAGAAAATTCGGCTGGGCGGCAGTTTTAGGTTAGAGCGTCAAGAACTTGGCTGTTTGGGACCTGTGTCAGGTCAGCTCTTCTTGGTAGCTTTTGGTACATTGTTGGACAAGCTCAGGCATTGCCAGCCCCCAACACTGTTTCTTGTCCGCCTGGAAAACAGTCAGCATTTGTTGGCCCATTCTTTGTGTATGTCCTGCCTTCATTTCGTTTGGGGTGAGGGCATAATGTTCAGAAACGTTTGTGCATCACCTTGCAACCCAGCATTAACCTATTTATAGCCTTTCGTAGCGGATATATGCCGGGTAGCTTGAAAACGTTACCCCTTTACTTTTTCCGGCCTGCCAACAAACACAGAAGTGCACAGACCCCGTGTGGAAGACGCCTTTGCCTGGGGAAAGGGACTGTGCATCCCTGTGTTTGTTGGTGGGCGAGTACTCACTTGGTCATGCACTAGGGCCAATGGGCGCCTTGACTACTCAACAGAAAGGGGCCAACCGAACACTGGCCAGGGTGCATTTTAATGGCCCTTCGCACTAACCGCACCCTAAAAATGGCAACGCGATCATAATGGTGGTCCTCTCGCAAACATCACTTGAAAAGGAGACCATGCAAAACGGCAAGAGTGGCAAGGTAATTACTTCGTAAGCGGATAGTCATCCTGCTTTTATCACAGGGAACTTACAACCAAGGTTAAAGAATCATAGCTACTAGCCGCTTGCTAAGCATCCTGCCGCCTCCAGTAGTCCCACTTCCCGCAGGGCAACCAGGGACTGACTTGTTGCGGAAGCGGAGTGACCGCTTCTCTAAACTTCCCAGAGGTTTCCATTATCGCGTGGCACAACTAGTCCCAAAAGGACATCCCTGACGCCTCGTGCATAAGGGGCAACTCTTCTTTAAACTAGAACGGCTCGTAGGATGAACCCCCCAGGTGCTCAGCCAAATTGCCCGCAACATAATCTTGTGAAGCCCAAGTTGACCATGCATGGCCTCTCTTGAAAATGACTGATTGTGTGTGAATCCAGCACTGCCAACCTTCCAGGTGATTCTTGTAATTGCGGGCGTCTCCGCTTGCACTTGTTGGACCATCTTGCCATTCAAACTAGGAGCCCACCAGAAGCTCCCTTGAAGAGGCACATGGTTTTTCAGGCACTTCCAGTCAGGTTCCAGGAGGGCACTTCCAGGATACAGTGTTTCTCCAAGTTCCCTGCCACAAAAATAGAAATTGTTTATTATCCCTCATGAAAGGAAACAGGGGAAAACCCACCCACTTCTCTGACGTTAAAAGGCTTTCTGGCCAATTGGTGACCCCAAATGGCTTCAAAGACATGGGTTCCTTTCGGATGCTACACACACATAACTGTCCTTTGGTGCAAACGAGTCTAGAACCTGTAGGTCATCTTTCAAAGGCTCGGAGCACTAGGCATTGGCGCGCAGTCCCAGCCCCATTACCCCGTTCCCGCCTGCGGCTCGGCTCCGCTTTGTTGGGAGCAAACGCAAAAGCCGAAGCAGCGCAAAAGGCACCCAGAAGCGGCAGCAACGCGCCTCGGCACACGAATTCATGGATCGAGGGGCCAGATCCCTGGATAAGCCGAGGATTAGCCAAGGACAAACTCCTGACAAGGACTTATTCAGGAGTTCATGGACGATAGCCTCCCCGCTCCCCATAGCCCCGCTTGAAGGTCCATGATAGTATGATGAATCAGAATGATAGAACCTGTGGTGGACATTATTTACACTGAGATTCCAGCAGAAACAAGTGACCCCTTACCTTGAGTCCCAATCGGCCTTCAAAGCCCCAGGCACCTCATCCACCTTGCCCTCGCTTGCGACTGTAAGACTCCCAAATCCTAAGCAACCCTGGTCCACCTGCCCAAGGGGAATAATGATAATAATAATTCTAAAAGTACATAATAATGATTTACAATACATATAAACTGCTAATGCATTACTAATGAACATAAAGCAAATAACAAACACATGATTCCCTCATGTTGCGTGCGCTCTATTATTCCCTTATGATCATGACTTCATTTAGTTTCAAAGCACCCAACCCCATTCTAATTCTGCCCTGGTATTCCTTTAAAGTGAAGCCAGGTCGCGCTGAGCCCGCTTTTCAAAGCGCGGCGCCATGGCAAAGAGCAAACGCTGAAAGGGGGCTTCCTTCAGCACCGTGCACGACCAAAGTTTGCTTGTAACAATCTCAACCTGGGTATGAGTTAAACTTGGCTTGACAGGCGGATAAACAAATCCATCTTGTGGGAAGGGTATGCCACCCACCATATGCGGACAGAACATGCTGAGGACTTTGGCGCTCTCCTCGCATGCGGCTGCGCTACACTTGTCGCCTGGTAGCCTCGTGCTGTCAATCGTCTTGAGTGAAGGCTGCGGACCCAGCGCTGCCCAAAATTACCAATGTGGCATAATTTGGACAGCAACAGCTGCTTTTCGCAACCCACAGCAACAGCACACATGCAACTGGAACCCATCTCGACATACATATATATATATATATAGACATGATACGTTTATAAGAAAGAAAGAGCACAACACACAAACGGAAACAAATTATTAAATAAGTAGAGTCACGGGAAGTGAAACCACGGCAAACGAGCTGACTCTTGCAAATTTGAGGCCAAAATCTTCCTAGTAGTTTCCCCACTTACCTTGAGCTTCAAACTATATAGTGTGTCTTAACCTTTTTGGTAAATCAAAGAGCCGGCACCCTAATTTTGGCCGCCATCCCATCTCGTACTCAGTAGCGAGCTCCTGCGCCTCCGGAGCCTGCGATGAAAGCTCCGGCTGGGGCGAAACAAAGAAACAAAGACGCACCTGGGCATGTCTTTTTTGGAGTTGGTACCCTTTCTTTGGGTTTTAAAGGGAAACCGAAAGGAACAAACAGAGAGCACACGCCAACGTGCCGATTGCGGCTATGGACGAAATTGGGTGCTTCGGGTTTGTGCAAACTCGGCCCTCTGCCTACTGAAACTGACCCTCTCGGGTTCTCGGTCAACAAGTGCCACTCCCCTGCCAGTCGTTCAAGTTGTAACATGCTTTTCTTACCACTGAAACCAACAGCCCCAAAATCAGAGCAACCCCGCCAGAGTCCATCATTTTTTTCAGATAGTGCTTGTCCACCCGGACCCCTTAAACATGAACAGCCTACCCGGGGCAATAAGCCTTGCACTTTTCTAGGTCATGGAGACTCTGGGCAATCCCCAAATGGGAGCGCCCCGCTCTTACCTGGCGCCTCTCAAGCTTGCGCATTCAGCCGGCCTTCAGGTTCTGCGACCTTCGAAGCAGAAGGCACGGGTTTTGGGCCAACTTGCTTCCATTGCTTAAACAGTTGGACAGTTAGTATCGCAATACTTGTAGGACTTCGTGCATTGGTGCAGTTTGTCCAACAGTGCCAGGGTTGGGCGCTTCAACCCCTGCTGAACACCTGCTAGAACACGCTCCTCTGGGTTTCCCCTGATGTGAGCCAAGGTTTCTTGATTTAAGAAAAGTTTGCAATCAGGCCCTAGCCAACAAGTAAACCTGCCAAAGAGTTGGTGAGATCACCTGGGACCTGATTGGTTCCCAACCAAAAAACACACACAATTGGTTCGCAGTAGGTGAGTGGATCGTGGAAATCCCAGCACAAGCAATTACCTGGGTACCATAGTGACATAATATATATATATAATATAATGAATGTTATATGGAGGGAGTATGCGTGTGTGTGTGTAGGGGGGGGCGAACATGCAGTGACTCAAGTGCATCAGGGTCAGTAGTTTAGTTATTCAATCAGTTTGGGGCAATGGGCTGACCCTGCTCAACATAGGTGTGAGAAAGCAGTCATTTGCAAAAGAATCCCACTTTGGTATCAGAGGAGTATGTAGATAAAAGGGTTATATATATTTTAAAAAAAGAGAAAGGCCAATAATGAAATGTCCACAATTACGAGGCTGAAGCAACCCTGTTGGGATTCCCCGTTTACTAGCTTTTGCCCTGCTGGGCTCCCGACGGCATTTGGGCCCATGCCAGGTGGAAAGCCGGGCCTGGGGTTCGCTTCGGTCACACGTTCCACTTTGTTCTTCCGCACGATGCCGTCTTATGGACTGCCAGGTCGGTTCCGGGCCCTGTCCGCTTCCGTGACCGTTTAGAAAAGGGCAAGTCATCCGCTGATCAGCACGAGCTGAACCCCACAAGTCCGGGACCTTCCTCGTGGCGCAAGTCAACCGTTTACCCCCACGTGAGCTCTCTATAATCTGGCCACCTGCTGGGTACTCAGCGGTCTAAAGTGGTAGCTCCCTGACCGCTAATACTGGGGAATCCAAGGGGGGGGGGGGGGTTGGGTTCAAGTAGGGTAGGGCAGCTTAAGTAGAGTTTCGCCGCAGGATTTCTGGGGAAGCTAAGTCTATCCCCCTTGGATCCCCCGTACGAATTGTAGCAACTTCATAAACGATTGCTTCTTGTCTTATACAGTCAACACATGTGTGAGGTTCGCACGTGCCATGGTGAAACAGGTCTTCGAAAAGAGATCCAAGGGCTGATGCTAGTCTCCCGCAGAATGCGGTAGAAAGCTCTCACTTGCTGTACGAGCCGTGGTCAAACTTCATTGCGGGGGTGGGGGGGGTAGCGGGATGGGGAGGTGGCGTCCTTCTCTGTAGGCAGCCCTTCAAAGGTTGTTCAATCAACGCGCATTGACTCCAAAGACCAAACGAAAAACTAAACTACCAACAGATCTAGAGGCAGTCGGAACACAAAGCAACAACAAAAACAAGAACAAGAACCGGGCTTCCTGTAGAAGTTCATTCATGTAGCTGGTTTCGATCACGCACCTCTTTCATCAAACAAACCCGGGGTACTGAAATTTGGCATCTTACATGGTTTTACGACACAATCCACCCGAGGTGGCTATGGCTCCTCAGTGCCAATATCACTTGGCCTTCTGGGGTCTCCGCGGTGGCATGCCCATAAAGGGCGGCATCCTAAGCAAAGACCGGAATGCACTTAAGAACGGGGTGCGGGCAAGACGGAAACCAAGTGCTCCTTGTTTTTCCAACGTGATAGCAATAGAACACCGACTGCGACAAACATGGCATGGTCACCGGATATGGCCGTGGTATGGCTATACTCTTCTGCAGTACGAAATGAAACCCAGCACACGATCCACCTATATGGGCAGAATGTCCCTTCTGTCAATGTGCAAAGCCTGCTCGCAGCAAAGCCATTCCAGCCACGGTGAAGGCCCGTCATCGTGTTGTCAGAAACTGGGTCCTCAATTTGATCCTAACAGGCATCTTGCCCGCATTCGACTTGCGACAAATAGCACACCACAAACACAAGAAGCTAAGAAGCTGGGTGCAGTGAGGGAAAAACATTCCAGTGGCTTCCCTCAGGGCAAAATCAACTTAAAGCCACCGCCCGGTTTCCCTCGAGCCCCCAGCCCGGGTGGAAATCCTGGAGGTAAGCCTTGCGTGAAGCGCAAAATCGGCCTCAATCCACGGCTGACACTAACTTGTCATCAGGCGGAGGTAATGCTAATGCTGAATTCGCAACAGCTGCATGGTGTTGGCAAGACCACAAACCTTGGTGGCAATGGATCATTCGCAACCAGGCGACAGAACCCCACTCATGTCTGCCCCTTTCATAATGCATGCATGCCGTGAGTCAGCTGTTTGTAGCTCGTGCCAACAATCAATGATCAAAGCTGCTACAAATATGCGGACATGGCAATTCGGTCAATTGTAAAATGGACATGATCCTGCTGCCAAAGCTGCACATTGAGCGATCATATTTTCCCGGCTCCTTCTCGTTTGAACAGCACGCCCCACACCCACTCCGTCGCTTTGGCCACAACTACCCAAACACCTCCTGTTGAAACAGCCGTGAGCGTTCACAACCTTGGCAAGACACGCACATATCATGTCCGACGCAACAGCCATAGTTCCTTGACCTCCCCCAACCACACCATACTGTGGATGGACGAAAGCCTGCACCTAAGAAACCCTGGAATCATGATTTTCCCTGTAAGTACCCATAAACAAGGGTTTCAACCATGGTTTCCATCTGGTGTATGGACTTCGTCCATCCACAGTACCACACCCCTTGGACACATCGAGTCAACTCTGCTCGCAGTGGAAGTCGCCTTCTGGTGGCCCCGGTGGCTCGCCCTCCGGCCTAGCACACGGGTAAGCTGCCAGCCCGGGTAGGCTTCCAAAACTGCGCCAGCTACAAGGCTGCCAGCCCAATTTCAAGAATTTCCCAGTTCTGTGTCGAGACTGGCAGCTTCGTTCTTGGAGCCCAGGCTCAAAACGATTCTTGGAAGATCTGGGCTTGCAATTCCGCCCGGTCGACTTATGAAATGCCCAACATTGCAGCCTCTGGAAATCCAGGCGGCACGTACTTGTTTCTGCCGGCCAGGCAGTCGCTGCTGTGGACGGCGTGAAAATAACGCGTTTCCTAATTACGTGGTTTGGGTTGATGGCCAGTTGTCGGGCCAGTCTGGAAAAGGGGACTAAATGGGACACTCCCTATGCATCAACACTGGTTTATTCAATCTGTGAAAATTATGCTTGAGCAAGACCCAGCAAGCCGAGGAAGGAAAGTCGAAGGACAATTCTAAGGAGACCGGTCCTTGACGCGGATGTCGAGTGGGTGTTTTCCTGGAAGCAAGGGAACGTCTACCCCGGTGAGTTGACATGCAAACACTTTGTAATTTGACTTGTTTTCCATTTTTTGAGTACCGTACAAATCTGCAGTGGAGACCGGTTATTTCCCTGTTTGGACACCAATGGGGCTTTTCCCCGAACAGAACTGGACCCCCCAGTTCAAAGGGTCAAAAGCAATCAATCGAGCGCTCTGAGGCCTGCACCCTGCCGGGCCAAGCCTGAGCTTCGGGCTCAAGGCCCTCAAGAAATGGAAAAAGCTCACTCATCAAAGCCCGGGAAGCCCGGGCACTCACTGCACACTCCCACGCCTGACATGATCGGAAGGAACCACAAGAACCATCATTCCAAGATAAGCCTTGATGCCTTGGCCAGTATGGACAATGACAACTGCGTTGACGATTCGTAAGCCAATTCTCTCCCTCTAAACGAGGATCCCATGGCATCACTATTTTGATTCAGCTTCTGGGATGCTGCGCACATGATTGTCCTTTGCACAACTCTTCCCCGTGCCCCCAGCTCAGCTTGCTGGGGCCCGGGCACAT